ATCAAATTTAAGCTGTGACTTGGCACGTCAATGCAGTATGCATCATTTCACATGAAACTGAATGTGCTGAACTAAGCACCAAGAACAAAACAATGTGTAAATTTTACTTGCTGTCTGGTTGATATATATAATATTGCAAATGGCAGGAAAAAAACTACCTATTACTAAATTCAAAGCACTCTAAATGGTCTAAAGGTGTAAGTCTGCATGTGAATATTTTCCTAAAATAAATATGCAGATAGTAGCACACACACAATATACAGTATGTCTATGCTATGTAAGATTTCTGTGGTGGACTATTTTAGGATAGAAACTGTATTAACTGGAAAAAGTGTACAGAGATTTTTTTTTTGTTTGTTTTAGTACGTGATCACAAACCACATTCCAGCGATAATTTATAACATATTGAGTAAGGTTTCAGCAAAGCGAGGGAGCGAAGGTTGAAGCAGGTTGCTGGTGATGAGGTCACAGACAGCCAAGCTGATCATGTTCAGTGGTCAGCGAGGCGACCCAAGCAGCATTCAAGAAAATGAGGACAGACTGAGTTGGACAGAGAATGAAAATGGGGACAACTAAGGGTGAACTCTTACTAGCAAAAGATTAAAAAATGGCCTCAGGCTGAGAAGAACAATAACAAATGGATTCTACAACACGTAGCAATAAAAGATGCATTCAATTTAGGGTGACTGTCAAAAGAAGCAAAAAAACAGAAATGTATACATCCTGCTCATTATTACATTTATCTACGATAGTGTACAGATAAACAGGAAATGGCAAACAGTCTACAAACCCATCATACAGCCAGGAAACACAAAAAGAAGATGGCACTCTAACCAAATTAGCAGCCTTCCCCTCCTCCTCCTTTCTCGAACAAGGAAACCTTTCAATTAGCTCATGCTGTGTATATCACACAACAAAAGACCTGTCTGAGCCCGTTAACATTAGCAAACCAGGCGGGTATCTCCACGTAGTTAACATTGAGGAATTAGCTTCTGGCGGCCAAATTACTCAGCTGATGGGAGCGGGAGACTGTTTGTGTGTGTGTGTCCACACAATGGAGTGGAGGAGTATTTGTCTATGTCCTCAGGGTGAATCTAATAAAGTTGTTTCCAAGCAGATGTTGAATACAGACATACAACACGCTCCTCTTTACCCTCCCCACCACCTTGGCAAACCCATTCACTTCTTCTCAAAAAAAACAAAAAAACAAACAAAACAAACACTGCCCTAAAGAATTTGCTATCTAGGGCGGATAACTGATTTCATCTGCTGGATCAAGAAGGGTACAGCAGCATGAGATAAATACTGAGCAGGAACAAATTCTTTTTCTCTTACAGATATTCACATTGGCTCTGACAGGTGTGGCTGCTGATGTTGGATGTTCAGGCAGCTCCCAGCGTTCTCTCACTGCAGAAAATCATAGATGAACGTTGTCTTGTTTGTTTCCCTGTCTCACCTGAGTTGTGATCTGTGTATCCTTCAGACTCAGACCCTGCTTTCCAATGCCCACGGCTGGACTGATTTATGCTTTAGACATTCGTTCTCCACACTTCTGGTCTGTTTCCTGGTCCTAGTTTTATGCGTGTGCCTGTTTGTATATGAACTCAAGTCTCTTCTTGGTTTAGTTGTCTCATTGTTACAGCTGTGCAGCTTTCACAGTCAGCCACTTTACCACAGTCCTCTTGTTGCTTTGTTTATCTGTTCTCCAGCTGTTATCATTGAAGCCTAGTTTTCTATATTGGACCTGTTCTGTCTGCATTTAGATCCTGTCCCATTTATCTGCATGTTCTCTCTTGCAGGTAGAAGGACAGACAAGAAGGTATACTAACTGCTATAAAAATGTTCTTCTAAATAACATTTAGAAAACATATCCAGTTTGTCTGATCATCTCCAAACACTACTCCACTCTTGTAATATGAAATCCAACTGACAGTCTAGCTCACTCCAGGGGCTTGACTGTATATGGATTTATTTTCACATGTTCAGACACATCCCTAAACAGCCAATGTATACGTACACACATATTCTAGCTGGCTAAAGGCAAAATAAAAAGGACAACAAAGCTTAAGTGTCCTCTCAAAATATGAGGGAATTTTTACCATGAGAACCAAAACATTAATGTCCAGTGAAGATGGAAAAAAAAACAAATTTAAGTAAGTGAATCACATATTGTACTGGCATCCTGAAAAGAAACCTCTGCTTCTCTAAAAGGCTCCTTCTTCTGTGTACGAGTAAGCATTGATCAATGTGCAGAAGTTCACTTAAAGGCCTAAGCATGTCAGCCATGTCAGCCTGTGAGTTGGCGTGTTCAAGACTTGGACACCGTTGTTAGGGGTGATGAGATGAACAGATACAGTATATAAGAGAAGCCCGACTGTGCACTGTTTGTGCTTCTCTAACATAATAAAGAACATGATTTATATGTATGCGTCATTTCTGTCTTGAGTGAACATCACTATCTGAGGTTTTACTTGATGTAAGGATTGTGTTTTTCTGTGACTGGGAATTACTAAGAGCTTCAAACAAAAATAACTGTAGATAAATACTGGTGTTTCATCTCAATGGCCGAGCTTTTTTAACAAAAGATCCAACCCATGCACCAGTAAAGTCAAACACAAGTTACATTCATCTGTTGATAAGGTAAGTGTGAAAAATGAGAAATAAGACCTTTTCTTTAAAAGAACAATATAATTATGAGAGTCTCAGCTTGGCTTGCCCAGTGAATCACTGGATTACACAAGAAAATCAGAGTAGGGATATCTGACTCTATATTAACAAACATTTTGTGCTTGTAGCTTGTTTAAGCCGCCTTTCTGCTCTTCTCCTTCTGTTTACGCTGATTTCAAAGCTCTCTGTAAGTAGAAACAGATCCACTTTGTAACAGAGCCAGATTGATTTAACTTTGACAGCTCTTACAGCAGATATAGATAACAGCCTAGCGCAAGTGAAAAGATAACGACTGAGACAGAATCATTGTTCCATAAGATACACTGCAATTTTAACAAGCCTGGATATGTGTATCAAGTGGAAAAAGTTTGGAAATAACAATGCACATGACAGGAAAATGATTTTGTTTGTTGCAGAGACACTATGCAAAGCACACGTTCCCTTGTGTATATTTCATATCCAACTGTATTCTGGAGAAAGTACTGTCTGATAGGAAACAATGTTATATATGTTGGCTATGCTGGATACGTTTACTGCCATTTGATCAATGTGCATCCGGCAGCATTATAACAGCACCTTCACTTGTTTAAGAAAAAAGCACTATTATGGAAAGAAATCTAGATTTCCTGCATCAAAATGTGAACTATTATTGTGGTCTTTTTATAGAATTACTGTAAAATTGGACACTGACAACTTTGTAACATTTTTATCCATTTTTATATTACTTTAAAAAACAATTTCCAAAAAACCTCAAGTATTTAACTTGGTTATTATGTAAAACAAAATGGTCATACAATACTTGTTATATACGTTATACTGAGATTAGTTTTTTCTTAGACAATTTCAGTAAATATTACTCAGGATTTTGACCTTTTCAGTCATTGTTCTGTAATGAAGGAATCATTATATTCACAAGCAGAAGTGAGTTGAACAAACTTACAGTAAATACATTTTTAGCCGGGAACACACACACACACACCCTCTGCTAACTTCTGATTGGCTGGGCATGATCAGAGCTTGTGTCATGTCGCTCTTCGTGTCGTTGGTCTGTATCTCTCTAAAGGCACAGTCTTCTTCGCAGCAGTGAGCCGTTTTCGGGTTGTCTGTTTGTCTGTACATACAGTACATACCTACATCCATACAATTCTTGTGGACATGATATGTCGAGAACAACTCGAGGGAATTTTCTTCAAATTTGGCACAGCCATCCAGACACTCAGGTTCTTTCTGCCTTATAGAACACTGGGAAACAAAATCTGATTTCTGGTCCAATACAGTCCTTAGGTCTGGACTGCAGATTTTCCCCATCTGCTGCCACCACACTCCTGGCTGAAACCAGAGTGTGGCTCAGCACATTGGAAGTTTAACTTTATTGACAATTTTCACCTGTTATGGAATCGCAGTGAACTCTTAACTTCACCCAAACCCACAGGGCTCAGAGCTGCTTTCTGCCTTTATTAACTATGTACACTGTCAAGAATGTTTACTGCAGTCATGTACTAACTGACAGATCCTCTAACACAACAGTCTCTTCTGCACTATCTGTTCTAGTTCATCCCTTAACCATTCAAGAGGCATGGACGGTCAGACATTCATCCAAACTTTCACTCCGCTGTACATCATAAGCCAGTCCTTCCAGATACTGCAATGTCATCTACAAAGGTACTCACTCAGTAAATCATAATAACCTTATTGGTAATAAGAGAGTCCACAGTCAGAAACACAGTCACAGAATAAAAGTAACTAATCTTGGCCCTGTGGAGCCCTCCTGACTGGGACAGCCCTGTGCTGTGCCAGTCCTCCAACTCAGTTATATTTGGTTTGCTAAACGCAAAATCTTTTTCATATAGAGATGTTTTTCAGCCATGTCTTTATATTATCAAATAACACCTTATGAGCTTTGGCCAAGCCCAGCTGACTGTGCTGCATTAAATAAAGCATTATTACTCATACTTCATTATGTGCTTAAGAAATTATGTATGCATAAATAATTATTAGATATAATTAGTATTTTGTAATACAACAAATCAAGATAAAAAAAGAAAACTACTTAGTATTTAAATGGAATGACCAGGATTTGATGATATGTGTCAGTTTGTTAGCAAGTAACCACGGTAAACATGTAATAATAACTGATTAATTATAACTGATGTAACTGATTCTGTGTAGGCAAAGAACCATTACAATTGTGACCGTTACAAATATAGTCTTCAGCTTCTCTGGTATGATTCCTTACAGGTAATACAACAAGATTTTGTATAAATTTTGCATATTTATATAAATGTCTGAATTGGTCCAAACTGAAAAAGCGCATAGGCATCAGCACAACTTACGAACACACAGGTCTCCACTTTCATAGAACCCTGGGCAGCACTGAGAGCGTCGCCTGTACATGGTCCTCACACCTCTCCTGTAGGCTGTCTTGTAGCTGATCCTATACACATGACAAAACACAGAGAAAGAGAGCAATAACATACTGAACTTTAAATGTGTTTGCATAACTACACTTAAAAAAACACAAGCCACATTTACAGTAAACGTTTAAGGGAGTTTCTCTGACTCATTCAAGGACGGAGATGCATTCTGACATTTTCATTTAAGATAAATAACTCAGTTCTTGGGTGCAGGAACTGGAGGAAAACAGGTGGTTATAAACCTTAATGTGGTTATTAAAGCTGATATACCAACAGCCACTCATCAAAATGACAGAGGTGAACTGGTGGTATTAGGTACAGTAGCAGACTGTAGTGACTGACTGCATGAGAGGAATCATACAAACTGGCTTGAGTCTGAAAATGTCACTACAGTAAATAAAGAAAGGAAGGGGTAAAATGTGATCACATGAATTCTTTTATATCCATTTAATAGTCCACACATGCTAATAATAATTACTTTTTACTCTAATTAATAAGGGAGTCTCACTGGGCTCAAGAGCTGTTTTAGCCGAAAGCCCTGAGAATTCGCCAGCAGGATAAAAACATTTAATTATTGGTTTATAATGTAGCTGTAAGCAAGTCTAAGTGCTTATTAATCTATTTGTCAACAGTTATAATCTTATGATACATTAGGAAGTGATTTATTAACTGGTTAATCAAACACAATCATGAGATTAAATGAGAGTGACAGTGATCCGGAGTTGCTACTCTAGTCCACACTCCAGCTTTATCTGCAAACGTGCTGCTCTCTGCGTCCATACCTGTGTCTGGTACACTTGAACCAGTTGAGGATGTCGGTGCAGCGTGTGTAGTAGACCTGGTCAAATGGATGAGCGTAAGACTCCTGCACAGTCACTGCATAGCTGCAGGGACAGAAAACCACAAATGAGGATGCGGCCTAGAAACAGTTGGTACAAATATATATAATTCAGGATCTAATCCTGAAAACATTTTTGTCATTATGAAATTAACATACCATTGCCTCCAGCAATCCAACATCAAATCAAACACTTTTTCCAAAAACTCCTACGGTTTTGGTGAAAACAGAAAACTCAAAATGGCAATGTGGTATGTAAAAGCTAAACATCACAGAGAACACTTATTTTTCCCATGATGCAATATGGTCAGTAATGTTTGCTTTTAAAAACAGGTCATCAGGATGTGTAGTATCGATCCCAGGACAGAGTGCTCAGGGTGTCCTTGTAGTGCTATTTATTTTTAAAAATGAAAAATGTTTCAAGGTCACTGATTCTTTCAGACAACTTTAAAAGCTTTAATTTACTTTTCTAAAAAGTACCAACTTTCAGGATTTTCAAGAATCCTAAATGACTTGTATACTTCTGTTGTTCAGTGCCGATTTTATTTCCTGTAACAATCCACACCTGGAACTGCCACAGTTAGAGGTAATATTAATTTCCACAATTACACTGAGAGATTATTGACCACAGCACCTACAGTCCGCTCCGTGTTGCTCTCATCAGGAATGACATAGTGCCTCTACTCACATAACCATTGTTCTGAATTTATGGTATGTCCCCAGGAGTAAACGTTTTCCCTTTTGCTCTCGGTTATTGGCAAACCTTCAGTTTTGATTTGTGGTAGGGAGTCCATTAGTTCACTGCAGCATTTTGAGCAGTGTTATTTCACTTTGAATATTGGTGAAGACACTGAATAGGAGAGACTGACCTTTCCCAGTGGCTGCACACATTGGGGTCATCTGGATTGAGGGGCAATGCCTGAGAGATCAAGACGAACAGGCTGAGCCACAGCAGGGCTTGGGGGGAACCCCCACCGACTCCCATTGTCCTCCTCGCTCTGTCCCTAGGGAAGCAGAGAAAGAGAGGAAAAAGATTTCACCTTTAAAAGACTGTTGTGATGTGTCCATAAATCACTGATGAAAGGTACTGTAGAACAAAACACAGTGCCGGTATCAAGAGCTGAAGAGGCACACAGGACGCACCTGACCACGGTTCAGTGTCACAACATAGAGTGTGAATATTTTTGTAAATGAGACATTTCAGTTTGTGATTATTGTGATTATTACAAACATTTTCTAAAAACACAATCTTAATTTGGCTTTATGGGTTACTGAATGTAGACTGATGGGAAATAATGGAAATTTTAACCATTTAAAATTTTATCTACAACACCAAAAAGTGTGAAAAAACGGATGGGGTCTGAATACTTTCTGAAGTATAGGTTTCCCAGGAACAATGCCTAGTTTCATTGTTCATCACTGCAGCATAAACAAATTAAAACTGCCCAAAGTATTGTTAAATTTCTCAGTATCTGCAGTAACTTGTGTCATTTCATCACATAGCCAGTGTGTGATATCTCATTGGTCTCACTGACCCTGACCCATACTGCACATCTGAGTTTTTATATCTTCACATTTTCCCTTCTACATGCATCTTGTAAGCAGGTGAAGTTGTGCCAGAAATCCCTGCTCTTCATTTAAATCTGAGACTACTCACACACTCCACATTAAATGGGATTCTTCTGAGGCGTGCGGCATAAAGGACGCAAACTCTAAAAGAACAGGCGCCGTCTTTAGTAAGTGAATCTGTTCTTTTTCAATCTTTTTTGAAGATTAAACAAAACATTTTTAATGTTTTAATTCTTTGTCTTTAACATTCCAAAGCTCGCATGTGAACTACAAACTCTATAAAAGATCATGTTCAACTCTCTTTGCATTTTCTTTCCAGACAAAAAAGCTAATATGTGGAAACAAAGAGAATTTGTCAGAGAAATTACTGTAATTCACAAGAGTGGCACCATTGATAAAAATTAATCAGTGGGGCCAAGGAGATAAAACTGATGCAAGCAGGTTTAAAAACAACACAAGCAGTCAGTGTCACTGTAGGTAAGCAATGTAATAATACAAAAACAACAGGACAAGCAGTGTAACTACTGTAGGGTTTAAATATGGAGATTTCTTCAAATGTGAACGACATAAGACTTGATTCACAAGGCAATGAAACTTCTGCCTGGGGAGACCCGCTGTAATTTCCTGTGGAGTGCAGGGAGGGTGGTTGAATGTACGTCAGGAGAAAAGAGCAGTGAAAAGTTAAAATCTCCTGTATCTTGTACAAAATAAAATAGCAGGGCACACACACACACACACGCATACACTGCAATCAGAAAACAGCTCTGCATGCAGCAGCTCAATGTGGGGTTATGTGCCTGACACAACCAATCTTGTTTGCACAGAAATCAATCTCTGCTTTACATAAACATTAGCTTCAACAGTAGAGATGGCAGCAGGGAAACATCAGTGTTAAATGAAGCTGTGAAGTTTTATCTGAAATGGCCAAAACTGTTGAATCCTAGCGAAAAAATATTTAAGGTCACATAATTAGTTTGATCTTCACAGTTATTGTTGTGAGTTTTACATGTATCATCACCACCTTCACAGCAATGGGACAAGAGGAGAATTTAAGACATTACTGATGGAAATTTCTAGTTATTACTACTACTACTACTATTATTAGTACTAATTTAAGTCATTACAACATTTTTTTCCACATAATTTTGAATTCCAAACTGGCCGATAGGACGCATGTCTCCGCTGAGGCACCTACATCTTCAAAATGTTTGTATAATGATTGTTTCCTGGGAGTGTTGTTGAAGGCAGCTCCGGGCCTGACAGTGACATAAGACTCGACAGTGGACCTATTCCTCATCCCATCCGGCCATCTCGGAAGCATGCACACTGACAGCCCTGGAAAAAGTCATGGTGATGATGAATAAACCCCTGAGTGACAGAGGTGGTACAAGCCAAATTCTCCCACCCACACTGTCCCATAAAGGGATGACATGATGATGTTCATTTCTGGACGACTGGTGGAGTGTTCTCATTAGGTGTAATATGAGCGAGGCCATGAGGAGGCACCGAGAAGTCAGAAAAGCTGGATGTTTTTTTTTTTAAACAGGTGTCTGCTGTGTGGAGACAGGTATAATTCAGGTGAAGCAGAAAAACAGCCTCCGCAAGATGAATGGATAGTGATGCTGAGCTGAGTCTGAGGCAAACAACTTTACTGACAAAAGTCCAGTAATGAAATAAAATTTTGTGGTTACACTTTATATCGAATGTAAAGTCAACTTTTAGCTCCTCCGTGCATAATGTGGGGACTTCTGAGTGGGGGAAATGTCATGGTTTGTCTAACTTGCTAATAGCTTGTCATTAATGTAAACTGAAGCTGTCAGTGTAACCTCTCCTTGTAAAACACGACATGTTGTTCTGCTGTATGCGTCGTGTCTGTAGAATCAATTCACCCATTGCTCGTAACAACACTTTTATGTATTTTAGTCACCCAAACTATATATTTTGGTCATTTAAAATCTGGCAGTCGACCACTTCTTTGCAAAACTGTTCAAAACAGGAGAAACACTGTAGTCTTCTATATTTATGTATGATGTTGGGCTGATTGTAATTACTATCAATCTGCTTAAGACTCAGACTGTGTGTGTGTGTGTGTGTGTGTGTGTGTGTGTGTGTGAGAAAGAGAGATAAATAAAGAGATAATAATAATAATAATAATAACCACTCTCATCTCATTCATCTCTATTTGTGGTAAAGTGAGAAAGATAGACATGTGTGCTTAAATTTGGTCAAAGATATAATTTTTTTGTAATATTATTAGGAATATTTAGGAAGACACTTTATGAATTAAATTATTTCATTTTGCCAAGATAGTGTTCAGAATTCAAGTAGGGGAAATGTCAAATTAAACTGATGCTTTAGCTAGTTTAACTACTGTTGTACACATATTCAGATGCAATGAAATCAGTTTTTATGATAAAAATGATAAAATATGAGAAATGCTCCCTACATAAAAAAATGTGAATTTAACCCCAGCAGAAAGCCATTATAAAAATACAAATTCAGGAATGAAAAATGTTACCTGGAGACACAAAATGTAGCTTACCTTGAGCAAAACTGACTGTGAAGATTGGTAATCTGTTGAAGCTGAATCACAAGGAAAAAGACCTAGTGGATGACAATGGTGGGACTGGACCTCAGGTTACCTGTGACAAAGAGAGAGAGACACTAAGAAACATACATTCATCACTCAAACAGCCGTGAACATTGACAAGTATGATTTTTAATGGCCCAGAGCACAGTGTATCTGACCAGATTACTGATCAATAACTGTCAGCATTTGCATGTTGCATAAAAAAATAGAAAAGAAATGCAGTACTTTGTTTTGGTTAGCAGTGCTGTTGTCTCATGAGTAAAATGGTACAATTGTCACCCCTCATACTTTAGTTTTCCATAAGTGTTGCACTGCAAGGTCTTAATCATAGCCTTGTATTGAGATGTACCTGAGGACACAAACTGCAGAGAATTCACTTTCTCAAATTAATTTAATTTCAGCATATACAGGTAGAAGGCTCCATCAGATGTTCCTTAGGATTAAACTGCAAGATAATACGCAACCTTCAAAGATTCAGTCAGCACTGGTTTTACATGAGTTCTGCTGTATTTTATCACTGCAGATCAGGAACAAAAAAAAAACAAAAGCACAAGAACCAAAGAACTACAGAGTTGTGAACTCAAAGATCTGTGCACAGTCTGTGAATGTGTGTCTAAATGTATATTGAAGGCTTTGGGTTGTGCTGTTTCTCATAAGCAGCAACTTACAGCGACAGCAAATCATTAAAAACGCTGTTATTGTTAGTCAAACAATGTTTTCCCAGCCCTGATGAATGTCTCAACATCAGGGTTTTGCAGTGCAGAGCTGTCAGATGGAAAGCTTAGACAGAGCTGCCAAGATGTGGTACAGAAAATGGTGTTATGAGTTTATTGGGGAAGAGGATATGATGTATTATACAGCACTGGTGAAAGAGTCAGACATACTCTATAGCTAAAATAACTCCAATGAAGTGGGCTGTCAGAAAACAACCACATCTCAGTTCAGTTTCTGATCATAAATACAGTAGTTCACTGTACTATGTGGTGATTACACTGAGGCCGTTTTTTCCACTAATTTTTTTGTCTTCTCTCTAAATCAGCACCTCAGTACACTCTGTAGACCACAAAGACTTTTGACCAAAGATAACAATCCCCTGTCCACTTATACCTCCATTCATAGATTCTTATAGCATGATGTTGTATATGATATTACAGTAAATCTATGGTCAGTAATCAGGTCCAACCACAGGCCAGTTTTCACCATTGTTCAATGGTGTCATTATAATTTAAGGAGAAAAAATAGTGGTTTTCCATTGACATCACTTAAGAACAAAACTACTTTTTTAGGACAGTTTCTGATTGCAGATGACCTTACAGTTACAGCCATTTATGTTAATTCTCATTTGGACAAAAGTTACTTGTACTGTACACATTTACTGTATAAGGTCTGTGTTGCACTATAAGAGTAGAGATGTAATTAATACATCCTCCACACACACACACACACACACAACACATGATGGCTTGCTTCATTTATGGCCGAATTAAAATATTGCTATTGTTCTTGACGTAGCACTGATAGCTACACTAAGTTAATTTTATTTATAGGATGGATCCCTCATTGATAACAAAACAAACTGAAAATAAAGCTGACAGTATTACAGGTAGATTGAACATGAGCTATTATATGAGCTACATGGTAAAAAGCTTCTGCTCTACACTGTTGTCTGTAAATCTTCATGCAAACTATGCTGGTGTTCAGTCACATCAACTGGTCACATGTGAACCCAAACCATGTCAAAATTGTCTTTGAAACAGAACAAAAGCACACTTCTCAATTTGATTTGTAATGCTTTTCCAATGGCATTGAAAACTTCGAATAATAATGATTGTTATGAAATTGTTTGCCAATATAAAATTCTTTAATATATTACTTGTGTGGTGTAGAAGAGAATTATTTATGTAGAGATACTGCTTGCAAACCAATGATGGTAAGATGATGTCATGGGGTAGGACTGGATAAGTCTGACTTCTTCCTACTCCATTCAAGCATGTACTAGGTATAAGCAAATTGATATTGGATTAGCATTTGTTGGATATGTGTAAAATTATGTGTGTTGATATATCAACTGTCTTTACATGCTTGAAAGAATAAATCAAATCAAATCAAATCAAAATACTACAGGGATGTTATCATGTATGCCAATGTACTGTAAATGCAAAAGAAATCTGGGGGGTTCTGAAAGCACTGTATACACGTTTTAGTCAAGCATGAAATACATACACAAAATTAGGTAGAAAGTCCTGTCACTGCAGCCAGAGAAGAGAAAATGTAAATAAAATTAAAAAAAAAAAACAGGTGTAATAGTTTGTGTTTCATTTGCTCAACTCAGTGTAGCCTAACAAACACACATTTCCCTGCACAACACTCTGGTTATATCCCATGTGCTGCTTTCTGTAATGAGCACTTAGCAAAGGTCAGCATCCCCCATAGTTCAATTAATTCTGGCTTTTGAGCTACCAGAGACAAGTAAAGCCATCTGCATCCATGCATATTTTTAATATGTGACTCGAAGCTTTATTGACCAGTACGCTCCCCTGTGGCCAATACTCAGCCCCACCGTGATGGAGAGTTACAGTTTGCTGACAGTCGAGACCAGTAGATTTCTTTAACAGTCTCCAAGGGCTCTTTGGTGATCTAAACTCAAAAATGATGGCAGAGCAATTCACAATTTACTGTTTCTGAGACAGGTTTAAGAGATGTATTCCTTTGAAACACACTTGAATGCAGCCAAATACATGTTCAAGTATCCTTAAAGGATAAGGCCAGGTATTTTCTCTACTGACGGCATTTTCAACAATCTGCATACGCCTTCACTGTTGTTCAAAATGATTAAAAACACCTCAGTGAAACACACCGCTGTACTGCGTGGCACGTTTCTTCATTACGAAATACAAGACCTGAATATTTGTATGCCCCAAAAGCTCCAAACACCCACAACTTTACAGCGTCTGAAGTAGTAAGACTCAGCTGCGTGTGTGTGCTTTTAACAACAACGGAGGTCTACGGCACAAACGGGCATTAACCTGAGCAGAGGCAGCTCATTGTTGGTTTTAGTCTCTGCATAGGGTTTGTTGAAAAGACTACTAATATAGAAAATGACCAATCTTATCCTTTAATCATTAATGACATGGGGCACAATTAGGTCAACATGCAACAGCAACATAAAAAAGATGCTACAAGAGTTTCAATGACCATAACAACCACAAACTCTACTGTGGGGTTCTGAAAGGGTAATGTACTCTAATGAATACATTAATGAAATGGTTCAAAGAAATCTTACACAACCTCGGCTCCTGACGTGTAGGATCCTGTAGGTGCTGTAAAACTATTTTTTTCCCCAAACAAAACTGACACTAGCATTACACAAGCAGATGAACTTTAGTAAAGACAGGAAAATGACTTGTTTGTAGATAGTCATTTTAATAATAAAGCAATTTGACAAATCAACACTGCTAAGTCTTAACTACAGCTGCACATGGGCTGACTCAACACCACTTAAGTGTAAGGCTAATAAAAAGCATCCTAACAGCAGTCTGTACATGATCAGCTGTTATTATAATGGTGGAGTCAGAGGAAGACAACCTCAGTGACCCAGATGAGGCTGCTTCTTTTTCTGCGCTATGTCCAAGAGCTACGCTCAATTGGCAGTGCACCAATCTGTGAAATCACCCTAATCCTCCTGGTCACCCTTCATCTCACCTTGATCAATAGTCACCTATGGGCGAAGGGGAGCTGACTATGGAAGGATGGTACTGATGGAACCCGGTCAATAAATTGACCACTTTAGTCTCTTCTTACTTGAAGACATGCTATTTTTGTTGATTAAGGGGTTCTTGCTTTTCAGTACAGATGGTTTTCAAATATTAGCTCTTATTAAACTTGAAAAACAAGCTCAACAATAGTCTAGAAGCTGGTCAGGAAAACTACAAGGTGGGATCTTAATAAGAATAGTAATGCATGCCCCTGCTGAATCTCTAACGAGTTAAGTGACTTAAAGAATATCAAAACCTATCAAAACCGCTGCTAAATGAGCATAAACTTGAAGAGAAGCAATCATTTCAGCTTTGCTCGCAGTTTGTGTTAACCATAGCAAGCTTGTAAAGATAACAGCTAAATGTTATGAACCATCTAAAACGAAAATGTATGAAACCTGACTGTTAAACAAGAGGGAGAGAGAAGGATGTGGCTGTGTCATGGTGAGCCCAGCAATTTGTGCGATTCTTATGACAGACAATATTTAAGTTTAAGTCCAAAGTTTTATGCATAAAATAAATATTAAATAATGAGTAATTTCCTCTGAACTGTCAATCACAGGTAGGTAGATAAAATAATTTGTTCTTCAGTTGAATCATAAAGTAAAAAAAAAAAAAGCACTGTTAAAAGACATGTTTTAAGTTCAACAAATGCACAACGTTTCTAAAATCAATGAGCAATCATGTTAAATAATCGTGATTATGATTTTTGCCATAATCATGCAGCTCTAATTCATATCACAAGCACAATGTAAAATGAAGTTTGTCATGTGCTGGTAGGCCACCAGGGGCAGTAATAAGCAAACTGCTGCTTGGCGCACCAGAATGAGGGGAAGAAGACAAAAAAGCCACAAGGCATAAAAGTGAAGTTTGTGCTTTACTAGAGGTGGTTTTCAAATATTGTAGTCTACTTTTTCCAGCAAAAAGACTTTAAGGGTGATTACTAAGTAGCTGGTTTTTTTCCATCTCCGGGTAAAGTGTAGCAGACAGCAGTGTCCTGACTGTTTCTGCAAGATGTGTCCAGGACTGTCTCAGTCCTAAATGGGGCTAGTATTGCCTTCATCCTGCAGTATTTGCTAATTGTTCAGTGTTAGTTTGTTTCCTTTCCACCCATGTCATTTCTTGAAATGGGAAAAGTGAAATGCTGCCACACACCAGCTTTAAAAGTCAACGAAGCATCCACTGTGTCAGTTTCAAATTCTCTAGCCAGCACACTGTTATACTAATGAAGTATGTCATAGTCTCACAACATTAAAGACATTTTCCAATCGTGGTATCACAAAATTACAAATATCAT